AGTAGCCCCGACATCTGCCGTCCTCTTCAACGATCTTGATCAGTGTGGGAACGATCGGGAGGAAGAATCTGCGGATGGAAAGCGGCAGAGGCAGAGGGGTTGAGACAAAAAAGGCAGTTGATAATCTTCTTGAAAAACAATAGTAACGCATAAATTTATATAGACTACACCCTCCTGACAAGGCAAGCTCAAAGCTCTTCGTCTGCATGTAGGTGGACCCTGTAAGGACAAATATTGGGTTAACTTGGAAGTAAATTCGAGTAAGTTACGTTGAGTTTGTTTTTATCTATAACCGTGCACAACCGCGCACTTACAAATTAGAATAATGAACCCAGTACGGACTAAACATGTTATTAGCAGACTCGAATGCAAGTAGGAATAACCTAGACAAATCCGGCTGTGTTTTGAAAGCATACGAGGGAGAAGGAACTCCACGCAAATATGTACAAGGGCCAAAGCATAAGAAGTCCGGTAAGGGTTCAGTACATAAGATGTCCTTTGGTTCAGTAATTCAACCACACCCATAGGGGGTGTGACTACACAGGTATATCGCAACACTGGCGAGGGTGAACAGTTCACTAGAAGCGTCCTTGAGCAAGCAAAGCTAACAAAAGTCAGTGATGGGCATAAGCCCGTAGAAAAGGTGGATACGTGCACATTGCGTTTTTAGGGGAGGCACTGTGATTACGCTTAGGCAAATAGGATTTGAGCTACCGCTACAATGAGTAAACAAAAGTACGTGCAATTGTGGATTAGACTCTGTATGTTGTAGAGACAAGGTACGCAGTACCAATGGCAATGGGAGGTTTCGGTTGCCCAAATCTTACGGCGAGGCACCTTCGGTCGAAAATCTCAACGAACCGGTGGCTTGTGGCCAGCCTGAGCATCCGGATCCTACATGGTTAGCGCCTACCGGATACACGAACGCGTCGAGCGTCGATTCCGATTATGTCAACCGTGTGCTCCACAGCCTGGTGATGGTGCAGGAACAGTGACCCACGGGGGGGGATTAGTTTTAAGCGATATCAGAGTTGCATTGGATCTACCACACCCCCACTCTCTAGCCTCACCCGCCCGGGTCCGATCGGAGCTGGTGGCGGCCGGAGTCGCCAAACCTGATTCAGATCCCACGGAGAAAAGTGTTATAAAATCCATGAGTGGGTGAAGCATGAGCCTGCTTGTG